TGCTGAATAAATTCACAGCGCCAGACTTTCTGAGCCATTATGGTATCTTCCCAGAATGTTAGAGCCTGACAAACCCCATAGTCTTATTACAAGTGTCCCCTAGAAACAGCCTGTGCGAGCGGAAACATGACAGAGCTGTGACTGACTTTCTGCAACCCCTGGCACAGTTCAAGAACCGGATGCAAAGTCACATCCATCCCTTGGAGAAATCCCACACAGGACCATATTTTAGTTCTGCAATGCACTGCAACTGCTCTAAGTTGCCTATGGTCAGGAGCTAACCCTCAGGAACCAGTTGATACAAACGGCTCTCAGCATTTCTTCATCTGTTCTGTGAGCAGAACTCTGACCTATGGACAATCTAAACAATATCGCCTTTTTGAAGGTATCTCTTCTATGAAAATTTAGTGTGAACAAAAAGGAGCTATAACAGCAATAAATAAAGGCAATTAAAACTGTTAGAATATTCTTTATAACAATCATTAGTGTCACTCTTTAGTTAGTTTGCCAGGCCTTCCGAAGTCCTATAATAAGAAATAATCTTCCCTTCTTAACTCTTAGTTAAAACAGATACTGTAAAATGTGCAGCTTCTCTAAGACTGCAGTAGAAAATTATTTTTTGTTTTAGAGAAGCAATTAAAAAATAAGCTGCATGAAATAAAGCAATAAAGCTACTCTTAGTAGCTGGTTTACATATTACTGATAGGATTTTGTAGAATAGACAGCAAAGAACAAGCCTACCTTTACTGCTCTGTCTTCAAAAACCGCCAGTTTGCCATCAGCTGTGCCTGCCAAGAAGAAATTCTTCTGTTTGCTGAAATAAAATAATGAATTCCAGAAATGCCTTAATCAGGTAAGAAAAAATTTAAATGAGTAGACTCTAGTATTTCAAGAGTTTCATTGAACACTAAAAGCAAATACAACCCCCTGTGGTTGAGAACACAGTCTTCAATTACACTGGGTGCAAAAGGAAGCAGTTGTCTGAACAAAACCACAGGAGTGTACAGATGTCGTTTTCTGAACACGTCTGTTTAGTAATATTTTCAAAATGTAACCCAAAATATTTAAAATTAATTTATACCTTTGCTTTGAGAGAGAATTAGAGTATAAACAAGTGATAGAATCTGACATTTTCTGCAGACGATGCCTTCTTGTTTCATCCTCTGTGTTAAGTGCCCACAGAGAACCAGACTGCGTTCCTGCTACAATCCAGTTTTCTTTCTCAGTAGGAAGGGTCACTAAGGCCAAACTTAAAATTTTACTATCTGCAATATCCTGAGTCAGAAAAAAAAAAAGAAAACAACATGGTCATGATTTCAGTAAGGGTAAACGCTAGTAAATTGCTGGTAATGAAAATAAAGTACAATTTTCTCAGACCTTGGACAGACCCAAGGCCTAACCTCCTCCTCAAGAAATCTAATTCCCTATTAGCAGAATACATCTTCAGCTGTACCATCTATTTTCAAACTGCTGTGAAGGACCCCTCAAACAGTAGACAGGAAAATCTCTACGCTGTATGCTGAAAAAAATATTCTCTCTCTCTATTCTAAGGAAGGTCTCAAAGCCATCAGAGAATTAAGCAAATGGAATTACACTGCAATATATATTCAGTTAATTGCTAACAATAAAAGCACTGGTCTAATACTTCTTTTTCTCATTTTAGTTTTAGAAAAATAACCCAAATAATTTATACCAAAGCTACCAACTCAAATGTATCATGGTCAACAGATGGCTGATGGAAATATAACTTAAAGAACCCTGATGATGAGTCACAGTTCTGGCACACATGTTCATCACAGCACATCAAGCCTGGGTGAAACCTTTTCCCTTCTCTGACGGCACAGGACTGAAGTGTACAAAAAGCAAATGCAAAGAGCTGGAGAGTATCACCCGAAGTGGCACAAGAGGGTGGCATCCATGGGAAGAGAGGCACCGTTAAGAGACTATCTGGGTTGTTAGGGGAGGTAGAGATACAAAGGGTTGTATAATTATTATTCTTTGTTCTAGCCTCTGTGCTAGAAATAGCTTCCCCCTGAGTGGAAGAAAGCAACCCTGTAGTGGAAAGATGGTATTATGAGATAGTTCAGGCTGGATGGCAGTAAGAGAGGAAAAAGCAACTGCGTTTCTGCTTAATTTCATGGATACAATGATGACTCACTTATGAGTAATCTTTGTTCTCTCAAAGCTTAGCTTTCCAGAAGTCATATCCTGATGTTAAAATGCAATTAATTCTTCTGAAACACATCTGAGTGCCAAAAAAACAGAATAAATGGCAACTTTCCCACGTACCTCACAAGTATGTCCATCTGTATTTAGGTTAACAAACGAAAGCTGTGCTTTTTCTGTGTTCCCATTGCCTATCCAGACTCCTGCCTTCTTGCAGCTTTGATTAGCAGCTACCATGCACTCTGCTGTGGACGTGCTGGGTATTGAAATGTACCTCATCAAACAGATAAGCTCTGCAGAATTCAAGATCTCATAAACCTACAGAGAAAGCCACAGCATGCACATGGTAATAACAATGGCTTGCACAGTGATAAACAAATAACAAGGAATGGATAACAATGTTTTATGGAATATGTACACAGTATCTCAGCAGGTCTGCTCATTTGTATTACCACTATTAATAAGCAATCTTTGTGCACTGAGCACCTTTACGTTGACTCTTATTTTTCTGTTAAAATTCCAGAAAGTCAATGCAGTTAAGGCATGTTGGAAAATTTTACCCATTTCAAAGGGCAATGCAATGTGTGATAACAGACAAGAGGTTTCAGATCCACAGTGCTGCATGGAACAGTGTAACATAACTGCACTGATAGTATAGCAAAGTTCCTTTTTGTATAGCTCTAGTAAAGACCATGAAGCAATCAGAATCCTCTTTCATTACAATCACTATACAGCAACACAGGGAAAACCATCAGGCTAGAATAAATGGTTGGTAGATTTGTATGGAACAGATTATCCTGGATAGGAAGAGCAGGCAACATTGCCTGGCTGTTGCAGTTCCAGAAAAGAAGAACAGAAAAAATTCTGTGCCTCTTTCTAACTTAAATGTCCCATTCCTTTTTAGAAAGCACAAAAACTTCATGGTATCATCTATCTCAAAAACACAAATAAATACACTAAGTAATACCTGGGAAGATGTTGGTCGTTCCTGAGGGTTTTCCTTCAAACACTTTTTAATTAAATTTTCAACTTCAGGCCAGGGGGCACACCCATATTCTTTGACAGGATCTAAAATGTAAAATCAGATAACTTCTTTAGTTCAGAAATGAGAGTTCTGACTAACTTTCTTCTGCAGAATTCATCTAACTTCTTACAGAGCTGCTTTTAGAAATAGCTTAATCTTAGGTAAAACGTCAGCATGAACAGCTTGCAATTGCTCATCTGCCATTAAATGCTAGAGCATGAAATGCTAGAGCTAGAGATCTTTTCATTAAAAGCAGTTAAACCAAATGGATATTGCTTTAACTTTTTTTAATGTCCCTGTACTTGGAGGACTGAATCACAGATATGTGTGAGATGTGTTTTGATTAATGCTGGCCATTCAAGGTCATGCCATTTCACTCTGTAGTCTATTCAATTCCTGTGAACATTTTTCTCCACATTTATTCTCCTGTGTTTTGGGACAGCATACGGAATACAATTAATAACATAATTATATATTAGTACAATAATTAGATATAATTATACAAAATTATGTAATATGTATTATATATTTACCTAGATAAATATATATGAACTCTTTCTCTCTCCTAATGGAGAAGCCGTGCCAGGTGAAGTGGTGCACTTCCTAGATGGAGTGACTTCTCAGTCTTAAAGAGTATTTAATGAGTATATCCACTGTTTTAGGGCAATAAATAAGAATGCCACGCATTAACCCTGTAGTACTGTAAAACTTCAAGAGCTCTTTACACAGAAGTTGCCAAATACTGAGTTAGGCTGTGCAGCTGACTACATCACGTCCAGCCTGAGAGCTTGTTCAATCTTCCCTCCAGCAGCCAACAACCACATGTTGTAATGCAGATGGAATATGAAGAATGTTACATAGCTGGGCAGGGACTTCACACTCTTGACAAGTTAAAAGAGAATTCCTATTTAAAACCGTTAGGGGTGGCTGTTTTTTTAAGGGAGTGGCATTTTTTTCTTTAAATAAGATTTCAAGGGGTTTCTTTAAAAGATTTTAAGATATGCAGCTTCTGTATAATGGATTTTTTAACATAATGCATCATGATCAAAGAACAAAAGTGGAATTGTGTTTATCTTAGTGTATGATATGCATTATCACAGTAATAAGTAAGGGTCACCTTGAGGCATGGAATTTGAAGGTACCTTTGGCAACATCCGTTTTAGCTAGGTCTGGATAAACTTCCAAGTACACAACACCTCTACTTCTTTATAAAGTGAGCCAGCTAGATCCCTTGAAATTGCAATGAAATTATAACCAATGTGATGTTGAATAGATGCCTATTTCCCACTATTTCCAGATCGTGTGAAATTAGCAGAGGATTCTAAAAATTGCTGTTATTTAGTTTCTTCCTATGATTGCTGTCAGATGCAACATAAAACATGAGATGTCTTATTTTTGGAGGAGGCAGCACAAATGGCATGCTTTCATGTTAAAACTTCAAGAAACAAGGCATACCTGGTAACTTTCCCTGTATTGCTAATTCATCAAATTCATTTGGAAACTTCAAGCCTTCCATTATTCTACCTCCTCCTGTTAAAATGTCATAAAGGAGCAAGCCAAATGAATAAACATCAGCTTGCTGATTGTAAATAACATTTCCTCTGGCAACCTCTGGTGCTCGAAATCCTGCAAATAAATCATTCATTAATAGTTATGATTCATGCCAAGCGGAAGCCAGCTTTATGCTTTTAAGAGCAAACACTTATTGATGAAAATGTCACAGGAAGTAAGCCAGAAATGGCACACTGGCAATAGTTTGCATGTGGCAGACCTCCAAAAATATCAGCAATCAGTATAAAGGAAGGGACCCGTAAGTCAGTTACAGAGCTCCTGCACCACTACACATAAAATAATTCATTTACCAATGAATACTGAAAGTGGAGGGCAAGTCTGCAGTCTTTACTGAAGGCCTAACATTTAACACTTGAAGTCACACCCTCATGCACAATTTCCAAGACCTAAAGGCACTTTTTGACCATGTTGAATTATTCAGTGCTTTAAAATGAATGCTAATATGTCCTCTCTAAATTCAAGGAACAGTGCAGGCATTTACTGCCTTTGAAAAACAAAACAAAACAAGACACAGAATCACAGAATCACAGAACATTAG